AAACATCAGAGTTATATTACAAAAGTGTATTTCAATTAATTACAAATGTTTACAAAAATAATAGAATGCCCTGCAGGCTTACATCTTTCTAAGTTGTTACTTGGTCAATCAAAAGAAGAGTTATACTCTTTTACAGGTAAAGCTCTCGGCTTGCATTTACATATAATCAACAAAATAAATAACAAAGCAGAGTCTTCAACTCCGAAGACCCCTCAAGTAAGATCTTGACTTGACACGTCACTGTACCTGAAAATAGTGTCCACCTCTCTAACACATCACTTCAAACCCAACCCAAATCCAATCCATATTTCATAAAAGTCAAAAAGTGCACTTATTTAGTCTTCCTAGAAAAAAAAAAAATATTTTTTTGTGAAAATTGTAAAAGTTTTTTTTTTTTTTTTTTTTTTTTTTTTGGTGAAATATAAAAAAAAATAATAATAAGATAATGGAAAAAGAAAGATAGAAAAAATAAAATAAATAAAATAAAATAAAAGTAGGGATATGAAAAATATATTATAAAAAATATATATATTTTTAATATTTATTTTTATTAATTAATTTTTCTTTAAAAAAAAAATACAGAGAATGAAACCAAACATTTCTCACATCTTTTCTTCAATTAATGCTCTTTCACCGCAACTTCCAGGAAGGTAGTTTTTTATTTTTATTTTTTTTATTTGCATTTCTTTTTATTCCAGTTCCCCTTTTATCTTTTCTCTGTCCTGAGAAAGCTTTGCAAGAGGAAAAACATTTGTTGCTTGTCTTGTTTTTGAACGTAGATTTACTTCTGAGCCATCCATTGCAATCTGTTTTGATCTTTCAGTAAAGTGTGTCTCCGCTTTCAAAGATCAGGTAACTACCACCAAAGCATCTCTTGAGAATTTTTTTTTCATTTTTCATTTTTTTTTAATTTGTAATTTATTTATTTTAAACTCTCTTGCATATGTTTGATTTTTTGCTTCAAAGGATGCTTAAGCGTACTGTTCTCTTCTGCTTAGGCCGGATCTGCTTGCTTTTAATTTCTGGGTTCTTTCTTAAAAGATATGGTAATAGGATGATTGATGATATCTTTCCATCTCTATGTCTATTATATGTGAATTTGCAATATTGTATGCTGGTTTGCGTCCTTCATTTACAACATATCAACATTTTTTTCCTGTAATGTTATGCTGCCATGATGGTTATTATTTTTAACTTTTTTTTTTAAAATTATTTTTTATTCCTACAATATTATGTTACTAAGGGCATCTCCACTCCAACCCTTACGCAAATCTGACTCAAATTTAAATTTGAGTAAAAAAGTTACTAAAGTACTCTTTACACCTTTACTCAAACTTATCCTAAATTACCCCTAAAAAGGGGCAGAGTATGATAAAGTTATAATGTTTTGCAATAAAAGTTACGAATATTTGTGTGATTTTTGTTATGGCGAGAAAGTTTGTGTATAAAAAAATTATGCTTTGTGTTTCGTGTGTTTAAGTCGTGTTGGTGTCCAATACATTACCTTATTAGAAAGTGTCCGTATTTTTTAGATAAAAATATTCATTATTTTCATTCATCAAGGGAGAAAATTTTACAATACACACCGCTAAAAAGGGCATGCGATATACCTTTTTGTAACTTGACTATGATTATTTGTAACAAAATCAGCAAAATTCATAAATTTGCTAACCACAAAAAATGCTTTACTATCTAATGATTCATAACATAACTACAAGTTTTGTAACATAATTATAATGCCCTTTTGCAATTATATCACAAAAAATTGGAATTTTTTTTTCTCTCAATGATACGGGGATGCGTATAGGAGTTGGACCCAACTAAAATTTTCACACGAGCTCCACATATGTTTTTAAAAATCTGTAATACATGATTATGTCCTATGAAAAATGAAATGCAATTTTGTTTATTTTGTGTTCTAAACAACCAACTTTGTTTTTTTCACGCTTTTACAAATTATTTCTTTTACTTGAATTCAATCATTTTTCTTTTAGATTTATTGTGAATGTTCTAATCAGCGTGGTGTAGAGATTGATATAATTGTTTGAGAGTAGACTGGTGTAGAATAATTTATATTTGATAAAAATAATTACACATGTATTTATTAGGAGAGCTTGGTTTGATTACATTAATAGTAATTGCCTAGCATAAATTTCATAATAAAATTTAAAGTATTTTAAAGACAGTAATATTAAAGAATGTATCAACGAACATACTAACTAAAAGACAAAAGTTTGCCAGAATCCCAATACTAGGCATGAGAATGAGATCCACTTAATCGATAATTTTGCATATGTTCCACTTTTGACTTGTTGCTTTTAACAGCCATCATTTGAGGTAGCAATTTCTACATGAGCATCCTGGATTTCAAAATCAAACAGCCTAGAAATCGATCACCCATACAAATTGGCAGGTAATGTTTCTATAAGAAAGAAATGGTTTTTTGGTTTGAGAATTCAATGAAAATTGTTTTATTATGTTGACTTCATGAATAAGATATTGAGAATGGTATATAATTACCTATCTCACATTGATTGTTGAGTAATGCATGATGAGTCTGAAAGCATATTATGCTAAGGATGAATGCTTGATGAGTATGAAAGCATTTCAAGCATACTATGCTAAGAATGAATGCTTGATGAGTATGAAAGCATTTCATGGTGTTTGATGAGTATGAAAGCATTCTAGGGTGTTTGATGAGTATGAATGCACTTCTGTAGAACTCCTATTAATAGGAGTTATGTTGGCTAGGAAAAGAGAAAAGGAAAACCAACAAGAGAAATAAGGAAAAAACCCCTCATCTCTCTCCCATTGTGTATAAAAGGAGACCTTCTTCCTTGGATTTTCTACATAGAATTTTTGACTTCCATATTATACAGTCAGTTTTTTCTTAGTATATTTTTACTGTGTGAGAGAGTGCTGTCATTGTCAGTTCGCTAGAGCTTAATAGAAGGTGCTTCTGCGTTAGCGGATTCTAACCGTCGTATCCTGGGAGACAGATGCCGGTAAACCTCGAGCACCCTTGATGAGGCGGCAAATCTATTTTAAGGAGACTGTGGTATCACACAGGTTTCAATTTGCTTTCTTGTCTTATTTAAGTAAATTATTTTGATATCAAGTTGTAAATTCCAGCATGTTTTAGTCTATAATTATTTGTTTCATAATTTAATCTAATTATATGAATCTGTTTATAATTATTTAAATATGCAATTTGTACAACAATCTGAAAACAAATTATATGTTTCCCATGATATTAGATTAATTCGTTACATTAGATTTGCTTCTGTTAGTAATCTAGGATATAAAAGAGATTCATAGTATTTAATCATATTATTTTCTTGGAACTTTGTACATAAAAATGAATTGTAATTTTGTTTCCCATGATATTAGATCAGGTAAATAAAAAAAAATAAAAATGAATTTGTTTTCTGAAAACCAACAGGTTTTTCCAGAGAGTCGACAAACCTTTTGTACAATTCCCTAGGAGTGATAGTTCCTTCTACTTGCTGTTTCATGTATATTTATGATTAGGAATTCAATTACTAAAACATTTCTCATATGCATGTGTATAGTTCTGTTTCTCACATGAAATTCATGATTACAAATTGTAATTTTGTGACTTCTGTTAACTAAATTTAATTTATTTAAAAAAAAATTATGCATGCTACTGTTTTGTTTTCCGAACCACCTGTAGCATATATAAAAACCGAAACTGTTATGTAGTACATGATTAGGCATTCAAACTTACTGAAGTAAAGTAATATAGTGTTCATGCTGTTGGGCTGTAGTGTGTCATTTCCAGTTTCATACGTTTATAACATAAACTACATGCTCATTATTTGGTTTTAATATTGCTATCTAATATAGTTTAATTTTATTTGTATGATTCCTAATTTCCTACCATGATTTGCATGCTTCTTTATTTTATAATTTTGTAATATAATTTACATACTCATGAGTTTCTAGTTGAGTTTCTAGTTGTTTAGTTAAAATTGACATGTTAAATATGTTCGGTTGCGTTTGGTGGAGCTTTCTAACTATGATTTGAGAGTATGAGTTGTATTTTGAGTTTGTGAGTTTTGGAATTATGATTTGAGTGCGGACAATTTGTTTGGTGCAAGAGTTTTGAAAATAGTCTTGAAAAGAGTTTTGAATTGAGTGGAGAATTTTTGATGTGACATTTGATATTTGATACAAAAACTTACAACTCATAGCCAAACATACAACTCAAAATTCTATTAAAGCACATAATTTTTTTTTTTAAAATTTGAAAAATATTTTTTTTGAATATATAAAATTTAACATATCAATTGCAAAAAAAAAAAAAAAATTCCACTGTTCCGGTCAACCGGCCGAACGACTGGTGAGACGTCCGGTAGGACATCCGGTGGGACGACCGTTTAGGCCAAATTTCAAAAAAAAAAAAAAATCGAAAATCACGCTTTACAGAGAGTTTTCTGCGGAGTTTTGTGTTTGTTGTGGAAAATTAGTTTCAAAACTCTATCCAAACATGATGTTACAATGTGGGGGTAGAATCAGGATTTGAAAATCCTTCCAAATAGAGCCATATATACTTTTCTAGTTTAATTCACATGTGTACGTTGCATGTTCTAAATTTTCTCGATTTTGGTTTATGTTACATGCATATTTTATTTCTAAATTTTCTAGATTTTGGTTTATGTGACATGCATATTTTATTTCTAGAATTATTTAAGAATTTTTTACATGATAGAATTATTTACATGTTTACTGTGCTAATTAATTTTAATTTTATTTTGGAGTTATAAGGTTTGTGTAACTTGTCTAACTAAGGCCTCGTTTGGGAACAGGCTAATTTAGTAACTTTTTGGCTATTTGGCTAAAATATGAGCTAAAAAAAACTAGTATGTTTGGGATGACTTTTTGGCTTTTTACGAAAAGATGTACAAAAAATAGAGAAAAAAGAGAATCTTTGACTTTTTGGAATGAGTTGTTGGCTTTTTTACTTTTTTAGTAACTTTTTGGCTAAACGGGACAGTTCCCAATCGAGGCCTAAGCATGGAAAGGAATTTTGGACCAATAAGAATCCTTAATTGGATTGGTTTATTATTCTTTATATTTGAAGCAATTTGTTACTTGTGTTTTAGTAGTAGTTTTATTTCTACTTTATAATAGTTTCACCATACTGAAAGGAAAGGGGAAATGAAAGACATTATAAATCTTCGGGTTTAGAGAAAATTTTTGGGATTACTTTTATTATTCCCAAAGTGGTTTGGTTTTCTGTAATAGAAACCAAAATTTAGCTTAAGTTTTCTATAATAGAAACCAAAGTTTAGCCTTGGCAACTAGAGTGTAAAAATGGCAGGTGGCCTGGGGTGGGCCTGATCCCAACCCGAACCGTTGGGCCTGCGCCATCATTTTGAAGCCTAGTCCGGCCCGTGGCCCAGTCCATCAACCCGTTTTTGGCCCACTCAAGGCCCGGCCCGGTCGACTCGCCTAAAGCCTAGTGTTTTTTTTGGTGGAACATAATAAAATTTTGGTAAAAAAAATTTAAAAAAAGCAAAAAAAATGATCAGGCCCACCCAAGCTCGGCCCAAGCTCGAGGCCAGGCCAAGACCCACCGGGCCTGGCCTGAGGTCCGAATACTCCCTGAGCCTAGGCCTGGGCCTAGTTTTTTTGGCCCATGGCCAGGCCCGAATGGGTCGGGCCGGGTCAAATTTACACCCCTATTGGCAACTAAGATGGATTTGGTTTCAAACTTTTATGGTTAATGGAAGTCTTTGGATTTAATCCATTTATTCTCAAAGTGGTAGAAAATCAAGTTTTGGTAAAGTCTTTGGTCATATTCTGATTATTTCCAAAGTGTTTTGTTTTGAAAAAATAAACCAAATTTTATCATTAGCTAAAATATTTCTGATTTTTATTAAAAAATAATGAGCTCAGTTCCGGGAGTGCCGGTTAACTTTTATGAATAGTGTAATTCTGATAGCAATTTTTAATTATTTGTAAGTTTTGTAAACTTGGTTTGTTTTAACTTAATTTATCCCCTGACTAACTTAATTGTAAATTTGTTTCCTATGGATTAGAGGTCAACATACTCTTGAAAGTTTTGTCTAAGGTTAACTGGGTCTTAAGTGGGACCGGTGTGACTCCTCCGGTCTTCTTGGAAACTTTCTGATCATGTTCGATTTTAGGGTAAGTGGTGAGATTAGTTTTGAATTAAATTTCAAACTTCGAGATTTTCTAATGTTAAGTTTAGTTTTTAGAAAAACAAAATAATGAAATTCTATTGTGATTTTTCAAAAATGGCTTCAATGGAAATTGTTATTCCACCTGACAGCCTTAAGCCTTGCGAGATTCTTAAAGGAAAATCTAGAGAGATCAAATGTGATTAAAGATTGTATAATAATATCTCTGAATTAATTAGAGGCAATTAGTATGTTATCCTTAGGTTAACATGTATGATTGCTATGTGATTTTGCTTAAGATTGAAAATGAGACAATCCATTAAGGTGGGTGAATGTTTTTTTTGAATTTTTATAATTCTGAATATATTCTTGAATTCGTGGCTTGTAGTGTGTGCAAGATTACTGATCACAGAGATAGAAAACTAATGGTTCCTAGGGGGTGCTAGACCACTGGTTACACAGTTATGAAATTGTGATTCCTAGCAGTGAACAAATTACTAATTACATGTTAAGACATTATGGTTCCTAGTAGTGGAGTGACTACTAATCATATGTCAAGACATGATGATTCTTAGTAATGAAAGAGTCTACTGATCCTATGTCAAGACATTGTGATTCCTAGTAGTGGAGTGAGTGACAGTGTCTTGATATAGGATCAGTAGACTCTTTCATTACTAAGAATCATTATGTCTTTACTAATCACATGTCAAGATATTGTGATTCCTAGTAGTGAAAAGTCTACTGACCACATGTTGAGAAATTAATGATTCATAGTGATAAGATTATTGGCCATGTTATGAAGTTTCGAATAGTAGACTATTGAACACTGGATTTGTATTTCTTGATAGTAAGACTATTGACTTCAAAGTGACTTCTTTGGACCAAACATGTTTTGGTGCCTTGACTTTAGGAAAAGAACATACTCTGAATGATGTCTTGTTTGTGCCGGACATTCGTAAGAACCTTGTCTTGGGGTCTCTCTTAAGCAAGCATAGCTTCCGCATGGTGTTTGAGTCTGATAAGGTCGTCTTGACCAAGAGCGGAGTTTATGTGGGTAAGAGGTATATATCGGGCGGTATGTTTAAGTTCAATATAATGACTATTATCTTAAAAATGAATGAGAACTCTTCTTCTTCTGCTTATATGTTTGAGTCCCCTGAATTGTGGCATGGTAGACTGGGCATGTGAATTTTGACTCTTTGCATAGATTAATCAAGTTAGATCACATATCATCTTTCAATATTAATCTAAATCACAAGTGTGAAACTTGTGTAGAAGCAAAATTGACTAGGATTTCATTTCATTTTATTGAAAGAAATACCGAACCTTTAGATTTAGTACACAGTGATGTGTGGCTTGAAAGTCGTATAATCACGTGGTGACAACAAGTACTTCATCACTTTTGTTAATGATTGCACTAAATTCTGTTATGTGTACTTGCTAAAAAGCAAAGATGAGGCGATTGATAAATTTATTCTTTTTAAGAATGAAGTTGAGAATCAACTAAGTTGAAAGATCAAGGTTTTGAAAAGTGATCGTGGCAGAGAATATGAATTGCCGTTTATTGAGATTTGTGCTCAATCCGGAATTTTCTAGTCAAATGGTGTTATTGAGCGGAAAAATAGGACGTTGAAAGAAATGATGAATGCAATGTTAATAAGTTCTAGGTGCCATAAAACTTGTGGAGGGAAGCAATTCTCTCTACGAATTATATTCTAAATAGAATACCTCGGAAGAAAATGGACAAGATTCCATATGAATTATAGAAAGGTCGCAAACCTTCTTAGAATATCCTACAATTGTGGGATTGTCTTGCAAAAGTAGTGGTACCTATACCCAAGTGGGTTAGGATAGGTCTGAAAATCATGGATTGTATATTCATTGGTTATGCACAGAATAGCAGTGTATATAAGTTTCTTGTGCACAAGACTGATATTTCAGATATACACGAGAATACTATAATGGAGTCAATGAATGCGTCTTTCTTTGAGGACGTGTTTCCTTGCCAAATTTAAGGAGAGGTTCGAGGTTTTGAGAAAGAACTTGAGGATGATCCTAGTGATAGTGATCAAGATGAAGAAGTAGATGAGCCAAGAACGAGTAAAAGGGCTAAGACTTCCAAGTCCTTTGGCCTGGACTTTTTGACTGATATGTTAGAGGGAGAATCTCAAACTTTCTATGAAGCTGTGACTTCACCAGAAAGTCCTTTGTGGAAAGAAGCAATTAAAAGTGAGATTGACTCCATCTTACAGAACCATACCTGGGAGTTGGTTGATCTACCCTCAGACAGTAAGGCCTTGGGGAGTAAGTGGATCTTTAGAAGAAATATGAAGGTTGATGGGTCATTTGAAAAGTACAAAGTGTTAGTATAGTATATTATTATCTGAGCTTTTTTTGGTTTGTAATTATTCTATTCCCTCAGGGCTCGACTTGTAATTGTCTCATCTCGTAAACCCTAATCTTCAGTTATAAATAGGGGATGATATTCTATCAAACCCTAAGCTGGTTACTCAAGCTTCATGGTATCAGAGCAGAACCTCTAGGGTTTCGGCTTACCCTCGTTGGTAGACCTCTACACCAACGACACTCTAGGGTTCGAAGCTTACCTGGGTGGATTATCTGCCGCGTCGATCTTCAGCTCGTCGATCTTTGCTTCGTCTTCATCACTCAGTCGCCATCGTCACTCAGTCGCCTTCCTCTGTCGATCGTCACTCAGCCGTCTCTCAGTCGATCATCACTCAACCGCCTTCCTCAGTTGATCTCCTTCATCTTCGTTCGTCAGCTGCCTTCCTCAGTCGATCTCGTCAACCACCTTCCTCAGTCGATCTCCTCAGCTCGTCTTCCTCACATCATCGATCTCCTTTATCTTCGTTCGTCTGGTATACTCTCATCTCTGGTATACAAAATACCTCATCTCTGTATGGTATATATGTCGTGTATACACATGTATAAATAAATAATCTATATGCCTATATGCCTGTATCCGTACCAATACATATATAAATAAATAAATAAATAATTACTCAAATAAAAAAAAACACACAAAAAAAAATAAAAATTTATGGTTTCTTAATTTTGTTTTGCCTTTATAGTGGTCATTGTGCCTATTCTTTTACCACCACCTTCTGGGTTTGTGATTACCTCTAGTTTTGTTGCGGGTTCGGTAGTATCGCATCCATGGCAGATTTTACCAGTGTGTCCCCTACTTCTCAAACACCGAGGAGTGAGAGTCTCATAATACCTACTACCATGACTAAGAACTCCAACCCTAGTTTGAAAATCACCGCCTCTCTATTTAATGGTCAGAACTACCTAGCATGGTCTCAAAGTTTGACTATATTTTTGAAGAGCCGAGGGAAGATGGGGTATGTTGATGGTAGGATACAAGCACCTAGTACCACTGACTCGGGTTATAACTAATGGGAGATTACCAACTCTTTGATTATGGGTTGGCTTATTCATTCGATGGTTCCTGAAATTGGTGAGGGCTACTTGTCTATGGAGACTGCCCAGGATGTTTGGGATGTTGTGGCTGCCACCTATTCTCGCAAAGGGAATTTCTCACAAGCATTTGAGTTGCGCCGCTCTATTGAGAGCTCACTTCAGGGGGAGCAGACTATTCTTCAGTATTTCACTTTCCTCACCAACGGCTGGAAACGCCTTGACCACCTGGAAGACTATAAACCCGTTTGCCTTGCTTATTCTGTCATGTACAAGAAGTTCATCGCACGGGAACGGGTCTTTAAATTTCTAGCAGGCCTAAATGTGGAGTATGATCCAGTTAGGGGTCGAGTTCTGGGTATGGACACTCTTCCTTCACTTCAGGAGGCATTTGCTTATGTACAGAATGAGGAGAGTCGCCGGTCTGCTATGATGTCCTTTGTCTCTACTGACTGCTCAGCATTACTGTCTACTGCTCGAGATGGCCTCAGCCTGACTCCCATCCTTCCGTCTGCTGCTAAGGAGTCTGTATTCTATGATTATTGCAAGAAGCCACGGCATACTCGTGAGACGTGTTGGAAGCTTCATGGGACTCCATCCGGGGGTCGAGGTGATCGGTCTGGTTCTCGAGGAGGTCGGTCAGGCCAGTCTAGAGGACGTAGTTCCTATTTTCGGGCTCATCAATCTAGTGCCGTTGATACACTTGATTCTAATTTTGCTTCTGTTGGCCAAGCTTCTGATACTGAGCTGGAGGATACTTTGCGCCAATTGTTGGACCGTCGGTCTTCTACTGCTCTCAGTACAGCTTCCTCGTCTTTTGCCCGCTCAGGTAACTTAGCCTCTTCTCCTTGTGTTTTCCTGTGTCATAAGTCTTTGCCTTGGATTATTGATTTCGGTGTCTCCGATCACATGTCTGGCTCCTCTGATCTTTTCTCTGTCTATAAGCCCTCTTCAGGTCAGGACAAAGTTAGGATTGCAGATGGTACTGTTTCTTCCATTTCTGGAAAATGTTTAGTCCAAGCCACTCCTACCATACATCTATCTTATGTTCTCCATGTTCCCAATTTTTCTGTTAATCTGTTATCCTTGAGTCGTCTTACCCAGGATTTGAATTGTAGTGTGACGTTTTTCCCTGATCATTGTCTTTTTCAGGACCTTGTCACGAGGAGGACGGTCGGCAGTGGTAGTGCAGAAAATGGTCTCTACTTCCTGGATCAACCGGACAAACTTGCTTATTCTTCCACCACGTCTTCTACTACCCCCGCTGATTAATGGCTGTGGCATCGGCGTCTTGGGCATCATTCCTTTTATTTACTTAAGCATTTATTTCCATCTGGTTTCGCAAATCATCATGTGTCTGACTTTCTTTGTGAGTCTTGTCAACTTGGAAAACAACACAGAATTTCTTTTGCTCCCAGTTTGAATAAAAGTTTAGTTCATTTTTGATTAATACATTCTGATGTTTGGGGTCCCTCTCGTGTTATGTCTGTGAAAGGTCATCGATGGTTTGTTACATGTATTGATGATTTTTCTCGTGCTACTTGGGTGTATCTCTTGAAAGGTAAGAGTGAGGTTTTCTCTGTGTTTCGCAATTTTCATAAGATGATTTGTACTCAGTTTGGGGCCACTATCAAACTATTTCGTTCTGATAATGGCGGGGAATACATAAATTCTGGGTTAGGACAATATTTCTCTTCTCATGGCATTATCCATCTGACCTCTTGCACCAATACCCCTCAACAAAATGGGGTGGCGGAAAAGATAAGAGTGAGGTTTTCTCTGTGTTTCGCATTTTTCATAAGATGATTTGTACTCAGTTTGGGGCCACTATCAAAATATTTCGTTCTGATAATGGCGGGGAATACATAGATTTTGGGTTAAGACAATATTTCTCTTCTCATGGCATTATCCATCAGACCTCTTGCACCAATACCCCTCAACAAAATGGGGTGGCGGAACGCAAGAATCGGCATCTTCTTGACATGGCTCGGTGCATATGTTTTTCTATGAGTGTGCCTTGGCCCTATTGGGGCGAAGCTGTTCTCACCGCTGCCCATCTTATTAATCGTCTCCCTACCCAGGTCTTGCAAAAACAAGCTCCTCTTTACGTCCTCCTCGATTCTCAGTCCTTGTTTTCTATTCCTTCCAAAATTTTTGGTTGTGTCTGTTTTGTTCATAATCACTGCTGGAAATTTGTGTTAATGTATATAATAAGATAGTGGCATGTATAGAATATGATAGTGGTGTTGGTGGAAGATAGTGGCATGTATAGAATATGATAGTGGTGTTGGTGGAAGATAGTGGCATGTGTATAATATGATAGTGGTAGATAGTGGTAATATATAATATGTAAGTGGCATATAATGGGTTATCATGATGTTTGTAATATCTCCTATATAAGGAGTGTCATTTGGTCTTGTAAGATAATAAGTTTTGAATATAATTGAAATATATTCCTTCTTCCTCATATTTTCGGAGTTCTTCTTTCTCATATTTTCTAAGTTGGTATCAGAGCAACAAAAAACACAGCAGCCCTAAAACCGTCATAGCCATGTCGGAAGTCACGTCCGAAACCACTTCAACCCCTGCCGCTGCCATTCCGGTGAAAACGTCCAACTCTCACTCTGTCCAAATCACCACCATCCGCCTAAATGGTGATAATTTTCTCCGCTGGTCACAATCTGTCCGGATGTATATTCGTGGGCAAGGAAAGATCGGTTACATCACTGGTGACAAGAAGGCTCCTGCTGTTAATGATCCGCTGTTCGACAGTTGGGACGCTGAAAACTCCATGGTTATGACATGGTTGGTCAATTCCATGGAGGAGGATATAAGCTCTAATTACATGTGCTATACTACTGCACAAGAATTGTGGGATAATGTTAGTCAGATGTATTCTGACCTAGGAAATCAATCTCAAAACTTTTTTTCCTGACACGAGGTTGTTTTCTGATTTACCCGCCAAAGTTTTTGGATGTACTGCCTATGTTCATGTTCCCAGTCAATTTCGTTCAAAACTTGACCCCCGTGCTATAAAATGTGTTTTTTTGGGTTATTCCTCAAACAAAAAGGGGTATAAGTGTTTCGATCCTCAAAACAAGAAATTTCATGTGAGTATGGATGTGTCATTTGTGGAAACAAAATCCTACTTCCCCAACACTTCTCTTCAGGGGGAGACAAGTGGAGTAGAAAACCGTTCTTGGGATATTTCTATCCCGCTCATGCGATAAAGTATAATTTAATTAGGGATTAATTTGTTTATATAGTTATATTAGAAAACTGGGTCAAAAGGTGCTGGAAATTATGTTAATGTATATAATATGATAGTGGCATGTATAGAATAGGATAGTGGTGTTGGTGGTAGATAGTGACATGTATAGAATATGATAGTAGTGTTGGTGGTAGATAGTGGCATGTATAGAATAGGATAGTGGTGTTGGTGGTAGATAGTGACATGTATAGAATATGATAGTGGTGTTCAAAGTTTTTGGATGTACTGCCTATGTTCATGTTCCCAGTCAATTTCGTTCAAAACTTGACCCCCGTGCTATAAAATGTACGTCCGAAACCACTTCAACCCCTGCCGCTGCCATTCCGTTGAAAACATCAAACTCTCACTCTGTCCAAATCACCACCATCCGCCTAAATGGTGATAATTTTCTCCGCTGGTCACAATCTGTCCGGATGTATATCCGTGGGCAAGGAAAGATCGGTTACATCACTGGTGACAAGAAGGCTCCTGCGGTTAATGATCCGCTGTTCGACAATTGGGACGCTGAAAACTCCATGGTTATGACATAACCTGTGTTATGATCAATGTGAAAATAACATATGCAGCAACTGATAGGGAAGTGATCAACGCAAATGGTGCTCCGGTAAGAAGTCACTATATACCTGATACCATAGATATCTGGAAGGATACACGTTAAATCTGACAAAATTGCATTCAGAGACCAAAAAGCAAAGGCATATATATGATCCAAGCAAATTATGGCCCAGTGATTAAAAAATGAATAATTTATTCAAAAAACCCATGTCAGTGAATCCTCAAGTGGTCATTGCAAGCAGCCCACAGACAACTGCATATTGGTTAAACCATTATGCCAGTTGAAACAATAAAGGTTATAGAGTCGCACCTCTAAGATGGTGGGTACAACATTGAATACCATGGAAGAAAGGATGAAGTTTATTGCACGGCTACCACGATCAATAATCCGATTTAAAGCACCTGTTTCTCGACTGCAAACAGAAAGAGCATGTAAGAAACAGAAGAGTTTTGTCATTCAACTTTTTAATGTATTTAGTCTAAGATGAAAAAGGCAAGGAAAAAAAAGGCTGTCAACATAATTACAAGAATGAATATATGTGTATCACCAACCCAAGGTGTATTATCAATCCAAAAATATAAACATGTCATCATATATTTGTTTCACACTCTGAATCTCTCTTATTTAAGCTATTTCTACCTAATAAACTGTAGGCAGAAGTTGCACCAAATAGTCTAGCACAAACTCCCAAATTAAAATAAGTTATAATCAACTTATAGAAACTGCAACAAACAGCCACTTTGATTAGCTATGAGATTATGAAAAATGTAGAGATTTTTGTATAATTATTGTATCAAAATTAGGGTTTTTGTGTATAATCAGAATCGCAATATTTAGCTGGGTTGTGGGAGCGGGGGAAGTTTTTTCTGGCAACGGCCGCGGCTCTAGGGGCTTCAAGTGCCCTTTCCTGATTAAAACCCTCAAAGCTTGGACAAAGACATGTATAGTGGGGTGAAGTTCTTTGGCCTCGAGGTGAGTACTTGGTTGTTGTGAGTTACTTCCGGACGTGCCGATGAATGGTGTAGCTGCAAGGGTTCTTGGGGTGCTGGTGGTGACCATGCTCACATCTGAAGCTCTGGCAGCTGCAACACTGCTTGTGCTGCATTTGTACTGCGGTTGAAAGTTCTCCTGGGCTGCTCTCTGTCATTGTCATCAGACCCTGTTTCAAGGCGTCCTTGATCTGCACCCCAATCTCATGTAGATCTCCAAAGTAGTAGTAGAGGGAGGACGATCATCTTTTTGCATGAGCTTGGGCTTGGAGTTGCGCACAACCATCCGTATTTGATCTTTGTCAGTTGGCCTAATGGTCATCATCGAGGCCTTAGCCTCCAGTGAGTCAACAAATCGGAGAAACTCTCATCGGCTCCTGCCTAGTTGTCTCGAGATCACGGGTTGTGATCTCGATCTGTGTATTGTAAGAGTATTGAGCCACGAAGGCCTCGGCCATCTCCTCCCAGTTCCTTTTGATGAATCTTTCCATTTCGCATGACAATGGCCACTACACCCGATAGGGTCCGACGAACAAAGAAAGCTTCTATAATCTGGTGAGGCCCATCGGCCTTAAGTATCTGAAAAACAGCTGTAGGTGCACACATGGGATCCCCAGACCATCGAAACGGTCTATGTGCGGCATTTTAAATCGGTCCGGCAGAGTCACGCCCGAGTCAGTGTACCCATCCTCAATGTTCCAGAATGGACTTCACACCTTGAGATTTTTGAACAGCTTTTCAAGCTTACTCACTTTTAGCGCCGTGGGGTCCACCTCGAACTCAAAGGGAGAATCCGGCAGGTGGTCTGTGCTTTGGGTGGTTGGGGTAGGATCGGGGGCAGAGCCGGCCCTGTTGGAGCATCCGTATCATCCTGGGCGTGTATTGTCTTCCCAAGTATGGGAACTCTTGGTGGGGAAGGAACCTGGTGTGAAGCAGATACTCCGGCTTGCTGCTGTAGCCTGGTAATTAACTCTGCCTGTTGGGCCATGACTTCGGCCTGTTGTTTGGCAAATTCTGCTTGACGGACAGCGTCCTGCTACTAGGGTGTGCATAATACGCCGAAACCGCCAAACCGCACCGAACCGCACCGCCAAGGCAAATTCGTTATTATTTGCCAATCGAACCACCGGCTTTTGGTAAAAAAAATGGCAAATTCTAGTGACACTTTTTTTAATCTGCCGGTTTCTATTTTTCTTCCAAACCGCACCGACCTGCACCGCATTAAATCATGTTTTATAAGATTCTAAAAATTCTTTTTACTAAGTTCT